GGTTGAACAATATTTTTGTCCCCCCCCCCCCCCCATTAACTACGGAAGGGTATAATTATAATTTGGTAAGGTTTATATTGATTAGGTAGAATTTATTGTTGATCAGCCACGTCTTTAAGCAGTTGAGGCAACATGGAGTGTACCACTTGGATAATACCCAAAAACGTGCTTTGGATACTTTGTGATCCAGGTTGCCGTCTAAAGAAGAATAAGTTACCGACAGGAAGTCCATGTACATTCACTCAAACCTCTGCTATCCCACATTTTATGGGCAGTTTTATTCTTTTCAATACAACATTGTCAGGAGATCAGAAAATTCCGAGATATGTGCTGTGTTCCATTTAAGATGATATTTAAAAGCAACAATAAACACTAGGGTTTAAGTCTGTGGTGTCCAAACTATGGCCCACCATCCATTTTTTTAGAGGCAAATGGCATGTACTAAAAATAACTTTTGACATGGGCCTCATTGCTGTTTAAAAAAAAAAAAAAGGAGTTGGTGTGGGTAGTGTTTGACGTGGGGTGGATGGGAGGAATTGGGACTACCACTACTCCAGGCTGTACTATTAATGCACTTTCTAGATATGCAAATAACCCCCCAAAATATAAAGCTAAAGTGGGAACAGAATTTCTCTTTATAACACTGTGTAGAACAAAGATAATTTACTTTCAGAAAATGGTTTCATCCACTTTCTGCTGCTAATTAGTTAACATATCACATTAATGGTCCTCAAGTATGGTCATCTTACTAAAGGTTGGTCTTATTTTGGTTCTGAATGTGGAGATGAGATTCAGCATCTGCTTCGTGAAGGGTGGATTTGTGTTCCTGAGATACAGGAACACGACCCACTTCAAAACATTAAAAATTTTTTTTTTAAATCCTAAATTATTTGTCTTATAACCTTTAACAAAAAGCCTTAACGTAGCAGTTTTCCAAAATAACTGCATTATATAAACAATGTATTGATTGATTATTTGTTTTTACCATGTTTAATAAGTTAAAGTTAAGCACAAAAAAACCCAAAATCAAACTGGGCCTTGCATCTTTGTAATTTTCTGTGAGTGACCCCCGCAGGAAAAAGTTTGGGGAGCCCCCGGGTTAAAATCGACGAATGAATGTGTTGACTTTACCACTGCGCAAAGACGATTATAGCTCGAAGTCGGTAAATCGCCAATCGTGTATTTAGGCACGAACAACATGGATGCCTCTCTGAAATCAACAGGTGGTTGTTCGGCGTGGCAAACCAAGCAGTTGTTGCACAAGTGTTTAGAAGTATTTTTCAAAAAACTGAAACTGGTGGCACGGTCACTTGCAAAATATGCAAGTCTATCCTCAAATATAACAAAACCACAAGTGCTCTAATTACCCATCTGAAAAGGATTCTGTTAACCCTAACTGACAAGTAAATGCCCTCCTGTAACAATAAAAACACAAAGTATACCATTGCGTCCACTTAGATCACTTACTGCCCTTTTTTGTAAAATTGAATGGTTGATTACGTCAGCGACTGTTTTCCTCAATTCTTTATCCCGCAAAGAGCAAGCTCTTCTTCCTCCTTTTAGTCGCCCCACCCCACAATTCACCCATCCAATTAAATATCACTCCTCATGGTTTCACAGCAGGTTGATCTTAAAAAGTCAAGGAACAATTCATATAACTGAAGCTTTGGTCCAGTACATTACTGCTAAGCATTCCGTCATTAGGTGAGAAAATTACTTGCTACGATTGTACACTGTAGCGAGTACAAACCTTGCACTTTTGTTAATATGTGAATTGGTAGTTTTGCGAGACCATGAAGCTATCTGAGTATGATTGGATGTGGATGTAATTGGATTAAGGAGCCAGGAGTGGACTTGGCTTTCGAGGCAAAAGCAGTGAGCTGACAATTGAAAAAAATATCCATGACATCAGTGATAAATTGTCATGAACTCTGCAGTCATCACTTAAGCGTTGACTAAAAAAAAAATAATTCTGCAGTTATTCAACTTCTAATAGTTACATTGATTTTCCTTTTTCTCTGTCTCGAACAAGAAAACTTCTCTCTCATGCCCATTCCTGTAATGTTCACGCAACATATTTGTTTGCGGTATTTTCTGGGTTTCCTTAAGAAATATTGAGTTGAATAAATTAAATAGCCTGCTTTACAAGATTGAAATTTAAAGTTGTCTGCTTTTTGAAAAGCACCATTAGGAGCTTTTATTTTTATTTTTGCCCACAAAGACAGGCATGTTTGTGAACACCAGTTTATCACTCAGCCTTGCCTCAAACTTGAAAGTGTGTGTGTGTGTGTGTGTGTGTGTGTGTGTGTGTGTGTGTGTGTGTGCGTGCGTGCGTGCGTGCGCGTGTGCGTGCGTGCGTATATATATATATATATATGCACGCACGCACACACACACACACACACACACACACACACACACACACACAGGGCAACAGTCCAGTACCCTATCTTCTTTTGCACCATGGACTGCAAGAACATTTTTGTCGGCCGCCCTCCTACGATGTGTTTGGCAACCGTCAATAGAGTCCTCAGTTTTGATTTTTACTTTTGAAGTCTGCACAGCAAATGTTCTCAAAATAACATTACAAGATTTTTTTTTAATCAATTCAGCTTTGCTGAAAGGCCATCCAACCCATTAAGAAATTCTAATAAATTAATAAGTTTAAATTGAAATATGTATTCTTGTTTGAAATTGCCCTCCTGGAAAAAAAAAAAAAATATATATATATATATATATATA